GGCTGCGCGCAGTGGCCGGGTCTGCGATGTGCAATGCTTTTTTGAGTTTTGGGTTCTCTGACATCCCACTGGGGCAGTGGCCCTTCCCAGGCCGCGCTGACAGAGATGCGGGAGCACAGTTTTGGCCCTTCACACCGCCAGGATTACAGTGGTGACATTAACCAAATTCCCAAACGGCCAGCTGGCCTCACTCTGCCCAATCTCCCACTGCAGACAAATTTCATTATATTTGAAGCTAAATAGATTCTTCATTTGGCTTTCTTTTTTTTTTTTTTTTTTTTTAACTCACTCAAAGCCCATTGCAGTGTCTCAGGCCCAGACTTAGACTGCAACACGGTGTCCTAATGCACTCTTAGCATTAGCCCATGGAGGTGCCACAGCATGGCAAGTCCCCACGGGTGTCAGTGGGATCAGTGGTGTTATCCAGACTCAGGATCACTTGCCTGGACTACACGTAATAGCATTAAGGTTGGCACACCTGCAGAACAACTGGCATTTTCAGGGTGCTGCTGCAGTGGCATAAGAGCCTCCTCAATTAATGGGCAGGCAGAGCTTCAGTGCAAATGCAGTCTTGGCTGGGGCATAACCACTCTCTGAAATAATTTATCCTGCTCTTACAAACTCTCCAGTAAGCACAGTGTTTACTGTTGTTCCATTTTTTGTATCTCTGTAATCCTGGTAGGAACATCAGCCAAAGGTCACCAGTTTCCATGCAGCTCTTTTTTTTTCTGGTCTCTCTGGGATTTGGTGTGAATGAAAAGAGCAAAAATCTTTTATTTCCAGATCAAAACAGGATTAGTTGAAGAAGGTTTGTAAGGCATGTTAGTAGCAGCATAATTTGGTTGTGTGAGTAGATTTCTGTCAGTTCCTCTTGGGGAAGGGATGTGTGATTTCCTTTATTTTTTTAAGAAGTTCAAGCATTATTTACTTTTCAGTCTGATCTGGGTGTTAAATGACAAAAATTGGGAATTTGCTACATGGCTCTGTTCACTGTATATTGTCTAATAAATCCTTTTTAGGATAGGTGACTGATGTGTATGCAGAGTGGGTGGGAAGGAGTGTGCATTAACAGTGTTGGCTTGTTTTATTGATAGTGAATTGTGGCACTACTCCTGTGCTTAAATACGTGCTTGGCAAACCTGACTCTGGAAGCTGGCTTAGAGTCTCTGCTCTGGCTGGGTGAGACTCCTGCAGACAAAGCAGAGGGGGTGAGCTGTGAAGGAGGCTCTTCCCTGGTGCTAAGGGCACCTGGCAGGTGTGCTCACCACGCTGGTGTGGAGGGATTGGATGTATTGGGAGCAGTGGCTCAGCATCAGACCTGGCAGCAGGAATGGGGTTGATTTGGATGCTTTGCAGCCTTGCTCCTGTTGGCTTTCTAGTGAATGACAAGTGGGCATGGTGGAGTCAGCTGAGCTGACTTGCTCTCGGGCTCAGATGAAGGGAAAACCTCTCAGCAGCCTGGGCAGCACTGCCTCAGTGCAGCTATGTCTCCTGCCTGGACTCTTGGAGCCCATTTGGCAGCCCTGCATGTGCCATGGGTTACCTACCCTCTGAAAATCAACCTGCCATGGGTAAACAGGCAATCCCATAACCTCCTGGAGCAAACAGGAAATAATCCTAGGCCATCAATGCTGCACTGGCTCTCCCCAACCGCTGCCTTTTAATGATTGTTACCAAAAGGTCAGGAAAGCCATCAGAAGCTCCAATCAGCTGTGATTGGCCTGGGGGACAAAATGACACAGATGCTTTTTGAATAGTACAAAGGACTGAGCAAGGAGAAAACAATTTTCCCAGTCACTTCTATTAATGCCACCTCACTGCCTTCTGGCTGTGTTTTGCCCTTCCATAGAAGTCCATCGAGCACACCAGGAGTTGGGCCTCAGCTGGGTTAGTGTGCTGTGGAGAATCAGGTCTCTTCTTTTCCCCCTGAAAGGTGACCTATCATCATAGCACCTTCCACAGGCACAAGGACCTTTGCAGGGAAAGGATTCCCAGCATTCTCACAGCTGCCTAACACTCACTCCTCTCCCCATTTCCACCCTTCATCAGATCAGGCTCCCTTTTTCTACAGCCTTTACCTTTGTCATCTGTACAATACTGCCTCCCAGGAAATACAGCTTCCTTGTCCTTGGCACTCTTCATCCTCCTGCTTTGGCCCAGAGAATGCCCTGCCTCTGCCATCCCCACCCTTTCCCAACTGTGCCTCTCAGGCCTGCCTCAAGTGCATTTGAAGAAGCCTTTTTTACATAGCCATATTTACAGCATGAATCATTTGCTCCACTCTTCTAGACCTCAGCATTTCACAGATCTCTTCCCTCTTTTGCAGGCCCTTCCTCAGATGCCTTTTGGAGGGGGACGGAGCAAAGGGAGTAACACTAGCAAAGCCAGCTCCAAAGCTTTCAGAGAGAGGGCAGAAGCAGCATCAGCTGGGAAGGCAGAGGTGAAAGGAGCAACCTTGTGCAGGGGAAGGAAGGACTAAGGTGGTTCATCTAGGGACCACTGTCTGGATCACATCCCTCATAAAGGAGGAGCTGGTTGGGATCAAACCACCCTTCAGGTGAGGGATATGGTGGCCAAAGATACTACATGGCAGTTATCCTTCCACAGGATCCTTTGATCTTGTTGGTACAAGGCCACCACTGCCCTGAGATATCCTCTTGGTCTTGCAGGAAGATCTCACCTCTGGCGCTGCCATCCACCTCTGCCTCATGCTTCTTTTAGGTGTCCTGCAGCCTGAAACTGCCCAGCCCTGTGCTGCAGCCCTGTTAAGTCCCATTAGCCCCAGTAAGGATCAGCATGGGTCTGTATGCCCTGGGGGGTGCTCACCAGACCTGGTGCTCTTGTGGAACCCAAAACTCGAGTGGATGCTTCTTTCCTGGTGTCTTTTCTGCCTCTTTCAGACTGGCTGGTTAGAGAACCATTAGGACTTCCAGGCAATAACCATACGTGTGGGATTCTGAGAGCACTGGCCTTGAGGCTGGAATAGGTAACAGCCAATGGAAAACTTTGGTCTGGGAAAGCTCTGCAAAGTTAATAGGACCAGGCATCCTTCCTTCTGCTCCAGGCTGATTCTTTTAGCTCATATCTGCTTAGGCTCAGTGTGGTCTGAACAGGTCTGACCCATCTCATCAGTTAATGGATGTTTGGAAGGAGTTCAGCCAGAGAATAATGGAGAAAAGCAGGAAAAGAATACACTTAAATGTATTCATCTGTAAAGCATCTGTCTTTAGAGAGTCATAAGAACAGACATACCAGATCAAACCAGGGGATAGCTGGCCCAAAAACCCATCTCTGACAATGGCTAGAAGCAGACACCTGGAGAAGAGCAGAAAAACAATGCAAGTATGTGTTCTTTCCTCCAGCACTCTCCCCACCTCCAGCTGTGTTCAGCTGCTCACACTGAGCCACATGACTTCTGTGTATTTCATCATTTCTCAAAGGGTTTCTCTATCATGGACTTTTCTTAGAGTCTGCAGACTCCTAACATCCGCAGCATCCTGTGGCAAGGAATTCCCCAATTCAACTGCAGCCTGTGTGAAGAACCCTTTGCTTTAAGCCTAGCTCTTGCCAGCTTCCCCTATTACTTTTATTGGAAAAGGCAGTAAACAATCAATTCCTGTCCATCCTCTTCAACAGCACTCTGAATTAACACCACGTTATTATCTCATTATTGTATGTGGTGCCTAGAGACCTCTTTGCACAGGGCAGGGTATAAAGATGAGGCTCAGTAATAGTTGTTTGGCTGCAGTGCTTCCAGTCCAAAGCAAAGGTGGCAGGCAAAGGGCAAGTGTGTTACAGGAGAGCAGTGTGAGCTGACCATTAATGTTGCCAGCTTCTTTCTAAAGCTGCCTTTTTATTTTGCAGGTAACCATTTAGTGGTGACTCTCAAGGAATTTTCCCCTTGCTTCTCCTGAAGGAGAAGTAGGTCCTGAGCAAGGATGCAGCAGACAGAAGCTGGTGATAAGAGCAGATCCCTTCCCTCACCGTGTCCACCTCAGGCCAGCCTCACTGATGTCTCATTCTACACACGCCGCTGCATCACCGACGATCTCAGCTGGTCCCTGGTCACTGTCCCCCCCCTCACGGAGCTCTGCCTCCAGCACATCGCTCACAATTTCGAAAGTAAGTGGGAGCACATTGACTCTAGGACACGTGGAAAGAGGGTCAGTCCCACAGAGCAGAGGGTCACCAAGGCAGGCAGATGCATCTGAAAGGCAGTGTGGCACCCAGCCCTGCCAGAGGAGCAGATGGGCAGAAATATCCCCTTGGGCAGCCAGTTAAACAAACTGTTTAGTTGCTATGTATCTGTACACTCCAGGGATGGCTGTAGTCCTCTGGGCTGCACTCCAGGATGTGAATCTGTACTGACCTTGTTCTATCACATCTTCTTCCATCCATGCTCTTCTGGACTCACCTCAACCATGACTGGGGCTGTGCAGTTGCTGTTTCCTGCTCTTGATTCGTACAGACGTTAGGGTAGCGCTCGAGGATGGGGCCCTGTTGTACTGAGTGCTGTACAAAGAGATGCAGAATTGCTCCTGCCCAAAGGAGCTATCATCTCAGTATTGTACTCACAGGCTGAGCCCTCCTCCATGGCTTTTGGTGGTGATGTGACAAGTTATATCCTCAGGCAGGGAATGTGCTTTTGAAGCAGGTGGACTGATGAAACACAGCAAAACAGAAGAAGCGTGTCTCATCTGAGAAAGAACTGACTGGGAGGGGGAGAAGAAGGGCCTGTCTTTTTGGCTGACTCAGTGAAGTGGCAGCAAAGACCAAAGATAGTTTTAAGGCTATGTCCGCACTGGGACTGTAAGACAGTACAAAGGAACTTAGTGCTGCCTTATGCCAGGAGCTGAAGGTACTTGAGGGTCTGAGCTGGGACAACCTTGCAGTCCCAGCAGCCTGATCAGTCAGTTTGATGCCAATTGCATTGGACCTGCACTGTGCACACATAAAATCTGTGTGCTCATTTTAATGGGGACCCTCGTGCTGTTACCTGAGCTGTGAGGCTGCACCTTGCCCACAGTGGGGCCTGAGTGAGCCTGAGTGAAGCTAGCCCAGCCCTGCCCATACGTGTCTCACCTCTGCTTGTGTCATGGGACTTCGCAGAGAAGGTCACCGCAGTGTCAGCTGTGGCACACTGGAATAGAGTCCAGGAAGAGGCTGTGGTAAAACTGTCAGTGTCCTTAGGAAGGGAATGCTCCAGAAATTGGGGAACTATAAAGCTAATCCTACTTTGTGTTTAATAATCTGGTTTCCCATGCACAGATAAGTTTCTTCACTGATGATTTATGTTACTCAATACAACTGTGTATGCATGACCAAATATTCATGGTGTGAGTACACATGGCTTTTCTCTGGCATTTCTGGGCATAAAGAACTTCCACCAGAGAAGACAGCTGTGACAGACAAGACAGCTTAGGGCAAGCATTGGGAAAGAGACTCAGGGGAAAGAGTACCTGGGAAAACAGAATTTTTATTTAAACAAGGTGGACCTAAAAGCTAGGAGTGTGCCTCAGCTAAAAGGAGCAGGAATCAATTTGAGGTAAGACCTGTTGTAGTGTGTTGTTAAGTTTCTTGTGTTATTTCCCCAATTTATGTATTGTTTCCCCCTATTAAGTGTAAAATGGTTTTGTCCCCCCCAGTTTTTCCCGCCACAGCCCTGATGTCCGTTAGGTTACCATGGTTACCCCTGTGTCTGTCACCCAAGTTATATAACTTCTCCTGCCCCTTTTTCCCTTTTTAGTAAATCTTTTCTCCTCCCTGGGCTCAGTCAATCACCCCCCACTCCTCCTGGTTTTCCAGAACTTTCGTTCCCCTGGAGGTATTGGTTGGCTGGGGTCCCGGGACCCCTCCCTTACCTTTTGATTACTGATTTCCATGGAGTGTCAGTTCTGTGAACTTCATCCCCTCACCTTTCCCGATTGGTTCCGCCTGTACCCACCCCCCTCCTTTATAATCCTGTTTCACCCCCTATTTGGGGCCACTTTCCCGGTTGGTTTCCCCACGTTGGATCCTGCTACACCTTCAATAAACTGACGCTAACCCCCGGTGAAGTGGTCAGCACCGTTCCTCGCCAATACCAGCGGTGTGAGCCAGTCCGCAGCCAGCACAGCCCGAGGCCATCAGACGCCGAGGGGTGCTGGCCAGGAATTGCAGAGGGGCGTCGGCCATTCGCCCTCAGCTAGCCGGACTTCGAACTTCAGGCCACATACGCCCCCCCACAAGACCAATGCTTGAATTAAGATAAATAGGCACAAGGACCTGCATGAAAAGCACACAGTTGTTCTCAAATACTGTTCTTCAATATGCTTAGAAACCAAAAGGGAGAAAGTTCAGCAAATGGCAGGCCAAGCTCTCCCATCACTGTAAGGCTGAATTAGTTCTCTTGAGAACCGAATTCCTGCCCTGAATATAAAACCAAGATTTTTTTGGCATTCAAACCAAGTTGAAATGGGGAGCACAGTGTCTGGTGCAGTTCCCAACTATTATGAGAGTAAACCAAATTGCACTGATGTTTCATTGTAAAAGTTAGAAATCATACATGGAAATGTACAGATGAATCCTACATGTGTTCTGCCAACTTAGCTCTGTGCTCCAGCTGCTGGCAACCAAGGAGAGAGCCAGTGCCATCAGAGGGGAGGGCATGGGCACACAGCTGGGGGCCAGGGCAGAACCATAGTGCCAGCAATTGTTCCTATGCCCAGACCAACCTCTCATTCTTTTTATCTCTTCCAGACAACCCTATTTTGAATGATCTTCTGCCTGAGCACCAAAAGAAGGTGGTGGAGAAGCTCTCCACCAGCCTTCCACTCTCTGTGACTGCCAACAGAGTAAGCCATGAGGAGTACTGGAAGAGGTGCTGTATGGAGCGCTGGCAAGTGTGTGACGTGTCCAACTACGGGGACAGCTGGAAACGGATGTTCTTTGAACGTCACCTGGAGAACATTCTGAAGTTTTTCATCCCTAACACCACAGACCCCGACCAGGTCCTAGACCTCATCCCGCTCTGCCAAGACTACGTGCGGAAACTGGAGATCAATCAGTTCCTGCCACCTTTGCAGGTGGATCCAAAGGAGGAGGGCCATGACCTCTCTGACGCAGAGGATGAGGCTGAAATGGGTGAGGTCTACAAGCATCACTACAACCTGAAAGAGCTCATTACTTCTCTGCCTCACCTTGAAGAGCTTCATCTCATTTATGATGTGAAGAGCTGTGGCATGAACTTTGAGTGGAACCTCTTTAACTTCACTGAGCTGGACTGCTCCAACTTGGCTTCTGCCGTGAGGATGTGCCGTAACTTGAAAGTAATATACCCCAAACTGAACCTTACTGCCTCAGCTAGATCTTCAAATTGCCTGTGGATAGAAATACCGGGATCAGTTCTGCTTGCTGGTACCACCCTTCCTTTTGCAAGTTACAGACTCTGACAGAGTGCAGAGATGTTAACCTGCTGGCCTAGTGCTGAGTATCTTGTTCTGCCATGTCCTTGTTAGAATGGGTTGTCTGGGGATCAGTGAGAAGAATGTTTCCTCCCACAAAACTTGTTGCCTGTAGCATAAGAGGCAGCAGCACTCTACTGTTTTAACTCTCATATAGTTCTGGGAGACAGGAGAGGAAAAGTCCAGAGGGAGCTTTTCATAAGGAGTTTTTGGTAGTTTTGCTCAGTAAATGCATGTCAGCCTCTCCCAGAGGAGAGAGGACCCCCAAGAATAGTGTGGGGAAACACTCACACTTGCCTTAGCAATGAGGGATAGTGCAGATACAGATACTCAGCCCCTCCAAAACATCAGTGGGCATTGCTATCCAGAGTGGAGCAGGAGTGAGCTGGATGAACTCCCCACAGACTCTCATACTTTGGGAAATATGGCTTCCAGAAGAGTAATTACCTCTCTTGTGGCTATTAGGATGCCCCAGGCACACGGGACATTGTTCTGTGGTTATCACTGGTGCACATGTTCATCCAGACAGGTTTGACTGTGATCTGGGCTGGGTTCTGCTGCCAGTTGCTGCAGATGTTTTGACAGCTTTATCTTGCTTTAATTTAGCCCCCAGTTAGAGATTTTGTGCAGTCAGAGGAAAGGAACAGGCATTTCCAGGAGGCAAACCCTTTTTCCGTAGAATAGGCATGGGACATCAGTGGCATGCCCTGCTTCCTGGAAGTTTCAGCCCACTAGGAAAGCAAATACTTGAGCCTGCTTGCTAGAGGTGTCTGAAGTGAAGGGAGATGAATCCTGTCTGGTGGACCATAGGTTTAACTCCATGATGGTTTTGTACAAAGCTCAGTCCAAAGCCTTGGCTGTTGTAGTGACCCTGGTTTTTATGCCCACAGGTTTTCAAGCTGACACGAAGCAAAGTGGACGATGAGAAGATCAAGCTCCTGGCCCGTAGCTTGCAGAATCACCCTCGCTTGTTGGAGCTGGACTTGTCCCACAATCTCATCAGGGACCACGGGGCACAAGCGATTGGCAAGCTGATCAGCCACAGCAAACTAGAAACTCTCAATCTGTGTAACAACCAGATCTGTCACCTGGGGGCTCAGGCTCTTGCTCAAGGCCTGGCTGAGAGCTCCACCCTGACCTCCCTGAACCTGCGCCTCAACTTCGTGGAGGACAAAGGCGGGGAGGCGATCGGCCGTGCCCTGCTGACCAACACCAGCCTGAAGTGCCTCCATCTGGGAAGTAATAACCTGTCAGAGCCAACTGCAGCAGTGTTCTCCCAGGTCCTGGCTCAGAACACCTCTCTGACAAGCATCAACTTCTCATGCAACCACCTGGGGCTGGTAAGAGAAGCCTTTTCTGCCTGCAGTCTGTGAGCCTGTGTGGTGGCCTTGCAAAGCAGATCCTGAGGCTGTCTCAAAGCCACAGAGGCAAATGCATCCCTCATTTTGTATTCTTGCAATGATAACAATCAGTTGTGAGCCGGGAAGAGACTGTAGCAGATGTCAGGAAAGAGAAGGACACCTTCTCTGCATGAACATGCATTTACCTCGCTTGTAACATCTAGCTCTGTTCATAGGGCTGAATCTGTCTTTGAGGCTTTGGGCTTTTGGGCAGAGAGGGATTTTACCCCCAGGAAACTGAAAACCAGGAAGCATGTCTGTGAGAAGTCACAGATGCTTCGCACATGTGAGCGTAGTTAATGATAGGCAGCATGAGATGAGGGTCTCATGCATTTCCTCTGTGCTTTGGATCTGCTGTGCCATCTGTCACTCAGCAGCACACAGATAGTGTCACCCTTCCCAGAATTTCTCCTGTCCATCACATGCTCAGAGGAGACTGTTAGCAAATGGGCTTGGTTGTTGAGCTTCTGTAACTCACCAGGAGCGGTGCGGTGGGTCAGGAGTGTCGTGTCTGTGTGCTTGTAAGTGGCTCCTAAAACACAGGCTTACATTTTCTAGACAGAGGAACATCCACAGATCTTACTACATCCCTAAGAGCTGCAGTATGCAACATGCCCACAAACCAGACCGCTTCTCTTCTGCTGATTAAAAAGAGCTTTAGAAATCTGAAACTAGACAGCCAAAAGCAATCATGCTGGCTTTTAAACTTTCTGTGCTGCCTCGATTATTCTCACTGTCAAATAAAGAGACAGCAAGACCAGCTGTCCCTGCTGGCAGGAATATTGGCATCAATGTATTTGACAAGGGTTTTAAAAGGATTTGATGGGAGAAAACCTTTTGTGAGTTCTGAGTTTTATGGTCCTGGATGTGGAAACCCATTTGAGTTTAATGATAGAAGGGGGCAAAGGTTGGAAAGGATAGAAGGATTTTTGTTTAGTAAATAATTATCTCTGTGCTTAGAATCTTCCTTCTGATGAGCTCTCCTGTTACCCATTTGTGAAGTTCCATGGCAGCCCAAAAGGTGGCTGGTAATATTATCTTTGGGAACATTGGGGGTTTTGCTAGAGATGCATTCAATTCTGACCTCTGTAGCCCATTAAAAAGAGACCTCTTCCCAGACCTTTTTGCTCTGTCCTTTTTGGCAAAAGGGCTAAGAGGCAGGGTGTTGGGATGAGAGGGCCATCTGGATGGAGGAGAAGGGGCAGGAGGTGTATTTGGTACCTGTAAGAGAATAGCAACAGCAGAAAAAAAATTCTGGAAATTCTCACATCCCTAAATACAGTGCTTCATGTATGGGGGGGAAAACCTCCCTCTGGGTGGGTGCCTCCCAAAGGCTACATCACCTTTTCTGTCTCATGAAGGCTGGTCTTCAGTTCCATGAGATACTCCTCTCAGTAAAGCCAACCCAGCCTGGGAAATGGCATCCAGACAGAAAACTGCCAGTTCTGGGGCTCTCACAACTGCCAAGATGAGGAACAGCACTCTAATCCATTTGTGCCCAGCCAGCAATAAGCTGGGAACTGGGGGACAGGGGAGAGCAGACTCCTCTCAGGTTATCATTGTCAGATGTTACTAACCAGCATGAGCTTGAGAACTCCTGACATGGTACCCAGAGGGAGTCATTAGCATGTGTCATGTCACAGAGAGCTGCATAAGGTTACATTCCTCCTTTGCACTTCTCCTGTGAGCAACATTTCGGACCTGGGTGGAGGCCTTTATCCCTTTTGGCACTATCTCATGGACCTCCCACTGGCAGCAGCAGAAGTTGCCCTGGGGAGGAGGGAAAAGGAGCAATACACTTCTGTTTTGGATATCCTCCTTTAACCATCCCCTCTGATCCTTTTGCAGGATGGTGGGAAGCAGCTGCTTGCAGGGCTGGCAAACAACAAGACTTTGACCGAGCTTGATCTCCGCCACGCAGAGGTGGAACAGGAGACAGATTTCCGCATTCACGAAATTGTGTGGGCCAATCGGGAAGCAGTGAGGCTGGCATCTCTGCAGCACCCCAGCACTGAACCCTCTGAATGAAGTGCTCCAGGGAGCAATGGGCTTTGGGTGTGCAGTCTTAGAAACACTCTGCTTCAAGGTCTTGGTTTTATTTGCTTTCCTGAGAAACACAACTTGTGGCTGCCACCGTAGCCACATCATTCAACCTGTGACTTCATTGGAGACAGACACTTGATCTCAAGGCACTGTAGTGGCACCACAGAGCAATCTGCCTCTTAAGCCCTCTCTCTCATTGCACCCTAAATCTCACCTCCTGTGACGCTTTTCTATGCTCCAGCAGCAAGCTTATTTCAGGCAAGTGAATATTGTTTCATCTGTAAAGCAGCAAAGATGAAGTCTCTGCCACCTAAATGGTCTAGTCCAGACCTAACTTTAAGGTTTTGCTGAGGAGGATGTGAGAGGCATAGAGGATTGAGGCAATGTTGTTTCTAGTTCCTCAGCAGCTTTTTCTGGCTATTGCTCTGCTCAATAATCTATTTGAATTTATAGTAAATTTCTCTGGAGTCTGATATGGGTGGTGAAAAGTAAATAGAAATAAATTCAATAACTCAAGAGGTCTCACCACTGTAGTTTCCTGCTTTGGGCTGCTCTGCTTTTAATCAGTGCTAGCCTGCTTTGCAACAGGTGAATTCTTTACAACCAGATGCTTACCTTACCTAGTAGTGCTCTTCTGTGCAAACCTGTCCAAAGCAATCTGTGTTTTGCATAACTTCAAGCTAGAGGGGTCCCTTCAGGACTGCTGGCCCACATAGCTCACAAGTTTGAAAACAGTGCAGCTTCCTTGGGCTTGGAGCAAAATGGAGCAGCTTCCTTTTGCTCTACAGGCTGTAGTCATCTGAGGATGGGACAAGGCACATACTTGAGTGAGTTGGTCCACTGACCATCCTGCTCAGGAGATATCAGGGAATTAAGCAAGTGGGTTGATTTCCATCCCTTCCCACCTTCTGGGCAATGCAGGAGCTTCCCACGCCTCTGAGCCCTGCCCAACGCCAGTGCTCACAGACCCACTGCTGGCAACCACCTCAGTGAATCATCTGAAACTTTTATTACACCGATTTGGTTTACAATCTTTGTACTTTGATATTTCCAACAAAAAAGGCAACATTGTGATATACTGTTTGTACATATATAGAGAGACAGACAGAGCTAGATCATACTGACAGAGCTGAAAAGTAAAAACCGTTTCCCAGTGTTCACAAAAGGATTTGTTCACCACGTACCCGCTTCTGCCTTGCCCTGCCTGATGGATACAGACACCGAGGTGCCGCTGGCCCCTGGCTGACAGGACCTTTACCTGCACCGTGTCACACCCGCATAGATCAGAAAGGATGGAGTGCAGGGCTGCCCTGGCAGCAGGGGTGCTGACAGGGCTCAGCCCCAAGCCCTCACAGGTTTGTGTAGTCCCTTCCCAACTACTGATGGATGCTCCAGGGGCTACGTCCAGAAGAATTCCTAACCAGCAGTAGCAGCTGTGAAACCTCCCTACCTGGGCAACTCCCACTACTTGTTTCCCATCCTCGAGACCGAGGTATTGAATATACTTATTTATTTTTATTTGCATTTACAAAATATTTTCACTGGATGACACACCTCAATGAGATGAGAACTCATGTTCAGAAACAGCAGAAAAGACCCAGATCAGCATCAGGCTGATGAAGCAACAGCTCCAGCAGCGAGGGTGGGGGTTTAATGGGGGTGGCCTGGTCCTAGACAAGCCTGCCTGTGGCTCCAAGGACAGGGCTGCAGCTGGTCAGCCAGTTGTGCAATGAAAGCTCATGCTTGGAGGGCAGCAATGAGATCCTGCAGACATGCTAGCAGACATATGAGGAACTGGCCACCAGAGCCAGGGAGGACAAGGGACGGAAAGAAAAGGGCTTGGGAAAACATGTCATCACCAGAACAACTTCTAACTTGCTTTCCAGGAGCTTTTTTCACTGCTCATTTTCCTTCTAACAGCTTGAGACTGTTAACACCACTTAAGCACCCTTCGAACGCACTCCTGGGCTGCCGCACGCAGGAATGCCTGGACAGGTAGCTGTTGCCTGGAGAACTCTTTGCCTTCTCTCCCATCCATCTCTTGGCCAAAAAGCAAAGTCCAAACCAAGCAGCCTGCAGCACTTGCCCACACCCAAGACCAACAGTCAACTATCTGCCAGCCTGCAAGGGTTGAAACCATTTCAAATGCCACACACTCTGGCCAGACAGCAACAGCAGATTGTTGGAGTGTCAACATGCCTGCTGCTGGTGGGTCACTTGTCAGCTCCGAGTCCAGCCACCACGGGGTGGGTAACTAGCTGGTCACTGTGCTGAGTGCAGGGCCAGAACAAACCTTAGCTCTCCCATGAGGTCTATCTTCAAGGCAGGCTCTGAGGAGGGGGCGCCATTTGTGGGCCTCTGTCGGGTGGAGAGAGTGAGCTTGGGCACTGCCACCACTCCCAACACAGCATCAGCAGCACTCAGCAGTCAGGCTGGGAGCACCCCCTCACCCACCCCACGGGTGTGTGCCAGAGAGATGGTGAGACAGGGCTGGCCGGAAGGCAGAGAAGGGGGAAAGGCCCTCGGGCTCTCCCCCGGGCTGAGCGGGGCGTGTCCCATCAGGCCGGAGCGGGGCACCCGGCTGGCTCCCTCCCACAGCAGATGGCGAGCCCGGCTCCCGCTGCTCTGAGCAGAGCGCACACGGCAGCAGGAAACAGTGGCCAGCTTCCCAAGCCTGGCGGTTTCTGCTCACAGAGACCCAGGCATCGATTTGCAAGGTGTCACACTGGCATATGTCACAAACAGGATGGCAGGTTGATTTTGAGCACCGACTTGGGGAGGAGGAGCAGGTTGCCGCAAGGATGAGCAGAGGCTGTGCACAGAAATGGTTGCTGTGTTCAGCCTCCCATTGCTCCCATGGACTGGATTTGTCTAGGCTGAGCTGTCCCTGCCCGTTTGATACCTGCTGGCCCTCTGCACAGTCAGCCAGGGTGCTGGTGGCTGGGTTCACACACAGGGGATGCTGAAAATGGGGGTCCTGTGCACTGCCTGTGGGACAGCACAGGGGGGTGAGGAAGAAACAGCACGCTTCTAAAACATAGTGCCAAGCACTCCTGCCCTGAAACACACGCAGACAACTAACACAAACTCTCCCAGTCACTGGGAACCCACCACTGTATTCCATCACCCCTACAGCACATGTGCCTCGTGTCCAGCAGCTTCCCTCCAACCTCAATCACCTGCTAGCCCCGTGTACCACCCTGCTGACATGGCAATTTTGGCTAATCTAGATCCTTTCGTACTTCTTCAGTTGCAGTGAAGAGGGATGAAGCCTGAGCTCATGTAGCTGGGAAGATGGGAAGTGGCACAGAGCCAAGTCCTGCATCGGCTTCCCTAGGTGGAGGGGACGGCTCAGAAATGAAGCATTCCTCCTCCCTACAGGGTATGCCTGAAATAGCCAGGCTTGTCAGATCCCTGTCTCTGGCTGTGATGGATTAGCCTCTCCAAGGCACAAGGCAATTTATTCATTAGTGACATTTACACCTTGTGGCCATCGTGGTTGATGAGATGTGCTCAAGCTGTCACTGCTGGGCTTGGAGGTGGCATTGCTGCTCCAACAACGCAGTGCGACATGGCCTGGGCACCTCAGCTTGGGAATACCTCCTGCCTTTCTCCTCAGCCAGAGCATGCACAGATTGCTTTGAAAGCCCACTCTGTTCCTGAGCTTCTCAGGATGCTCTGCTCCATTTCCCTCCCTGCCTTGCAGCACCACTGCTCCAACACTGCATCCTCCTGCCCCATTTTGCCTTCTGTCTCCTGTAAAAACCACCATTTTGCAAAGCCCTTTACAGATGTTCTCAACCATCTCTCTTCCTCGCATGTGTTGCTGAGCATTCACATCCTATTGTGCCCTCAGTCAGCTGCCCTCAGCCCCAGCAGAGAGCACAGGGCCCACGTTTGCAGACTTCTCCAGGAGATATGCTGCTTTCACCATGATGCTGTCCCCTGCTCCCTCACTGCCACAACAGCTGACCTGCCTCTCCTCTCCTCCCTGGTCCGGAGACCAGGACCACCAAAACATCAAGGCCTTCTGTCTTCTAACTCAGGACAAGTGCTGTGAAATTCTCTGGGAAAGCACCAAATGATGGCAGGATGTGCTGCGGTTGCTCTGCAGCAAGCAAGCAGTGGGGCACGCCAGGGCAGGGAGCGCTGCTGGAAGGCTGTGCGCAGGCAGGGATGGTGAGGTCTGGCCACCAGCATGCCTGTGGTCATCATGCAACTGCTGGCATTCCATGGGACTCAGCAGGGAAGGACCAAAATGATGGGAATGCACGGCCTCGGAGGAGTTCAGGAGAGGGGAGTGCTTTGGCTAGCTCAGAGGAATGACAGTTTGCACATCAGGTTTGGGCAGGGTGAGAAGAGCTGGAAAGCGTTGTCCAGGGAGCAGATCCGGCAGCTCTCCAGTTTCAGACAGCCAGCAATGGATTAGCTTGTTCTCAAACACAGCTTGCTCCATGCTTTTATCCCCGCTCCCTGCCACTCTCTGCAGCAAATGTGACACTTCACACCATCTCCTCACAGAAATCAGGTCAGGAGTTTCCTCTCACAAAGAACAAGCAATGCTCTGTCAAAAGCCCTTGCTGCAAGGGTGGATGGGTGTCACCACACCAAAGCCATAAACATATCAACCCTCTGCAGGGCCACAGATCCCAGCTGTGCAGGAGCATGCAGAACCCCACCCTGCCACATCTGGGTGGACAGCCACATCACACCTCCAGAGACAGAGAAAGATTTTAAACTCTGGCCTCTGTTCCTGATCAACCCACCCGACTGCAAAGCCACAGGGCCACCATCCTGATCTGCTTTGGGCATGGGCATTCCTTCTCCACCAGCATGGCACATTACTAACAGAGATGGAAGGAGTGGAGAGTGTAAACCCACATCGTCACCAAAAATTTTTATTTTTTTTTTTAAGCAAGGAACAGCAATGTGAAACACTTCTAACAGCTGTTAGTTAGGCATTTCAGTTTGAAAAAGCCATTGGCATTCCCAAAGTGAAATCCTGTTATTTTGGGGTCTGGCTGTCACTGCTGTTTCCCCAGCGAGCTGAGCAGTGCTGCTCCATCAGACACACTGCTGCTCTCACTCCCCTCGGCTCAGCCCCTGGGGACAGGCTCTTCCTGGGAGCAGGTGCAGCACAAACAGAGCCCACCAGCTCCTGCCGGGGCTGAGCAGGAGGGGATGCCTGCGTTCAGCTGATCCTCCCCCTGCATCTGCTTCTGGAAGTGTGCATAGACTCAGGCTTGGGATTTTCCAAATTTTCACCCTGACTGGTTCATGGGCTGCCATCCAAAGTCTGAATTCATGTCACGGCAGCTGACGGCGCTGCTAATGGACATTGGGACCATGGGACTGGTACAAAGCACTACGTCATCTCACCACATTCTAGCTAGGCTTTTTCTTTCACTAATGTGAGTAGCTAAGATTGCAGAAGCAGCTTGTGCTGATGGAGAGTGAAAGAACCTCATGTGTCTGTGTGTGAAGTTATTTTGTTCTACAAAATCCACTAATTATAATCACAGTAGGTGATCCATCCATTCACAGAGTTCGAAGGACTGGGGAGGGTTCAGGATGGGCACCAATTTCTCATGAGCTTCATTTCCCCCAAATGAAGTTTACAAAAACCAAACGAACGAACAAACAAAATGGCCCAACAAAAAGAGTCTTCCTGGGGAATGGGGGAGGAATAAAACCCACTTAGCTTTCCAGCAGCCACTGTGCTTATTCTCAGTGCTGGATGGCCATGCTGCACACTGTAATGGGCTCCTGAAAATCTGGCAGCTTCTGGAAGAGTTGCATAGGTGGATGATATACCTGTTAGTAGAGCCTGTTCACGAGCCGCAGGAAGAGGAGCCTGTTGAACTCCACAGGGAAATGTCCCTCCCCCAAGACAGACATGAGGTAAGGAGGGAAGGAGGAAGGGCAGGCCACGAGGCCATGGGTCTTGCAGGTTCAGTTCTGTCCTTGGGACCTCTTTGAGCTCAGAGGCTGAAAGGCTGTGATCCTGTGGGAGAAAGCTCCTCTCCCGGTGCTGTGGAGGTCAATTTGCTTGTTAGCTTGCTTTTGAGGGAGTTGACGAGATCACATCCATAATGTTCCCCTTGGCAGAGCAGCTGTGAGGCAGTAGAGCAGAACAATTCAATCCACTGCTTGTAGAAACTACAGATATTCAACATTCATTCATGTTGGCCAAGACCCAACACAAAATCTATGCAGCAAAGCAACACTGTGACAGATCAATTTTTCAGGACTCAGGGACAGATCCCTGTGAGGAGCTGCTAAGCCAACCTCACATTAGTATAGTACCACTGGCTTCAGTAAAATTACCCTAGGAATGAACATAGCCCATTAATTTCTACCTGAAGTGTGACTATGACCCCTTTCCATTTTTTCCAGAATGCCCACAGGGAAAACAGCCCTAGGCAGGCTCAGCCCCAAGTCCCCACTGGGGTCCCAGGTGCTATGAACCAGCCTTTGGTCCCCATGCATACCTGGCTCAGTGGAGAGTGTAGGCCCAAGTGCATCACAGGAAGCAGCAGCACCAGATAGAGCTATCACTTAAACTGCATTTCATTGTGACATTGCCTGGATCCAGATCATGTTCCTACAGACTTTATTCTAACCACTGAATGTGAATGAAACATGATCAGAAGGACATACCCCACCTTGAGACTCACAGAGCTTTGCTAACACAACATCCTGGTGGTGGTGTGGCACTGCAGACCCAGCCCCTAGAGCGACTGCAGCAGAGCAGGAGCACACTGCAGCACAGTCTGTGCCCTGCTAAAGGCAGCACCCTGGTGACATTAGACAGCACTACTGAAGCCATGGGTGGAAAGGCTGGAATGAGAGCTTAAAAGAGATTATTTGTCCCACCTGCTAATCAGCAGGTGTTGTTTTACTGGCATTGATGCTACCTATCTTTCTTAAACTTCCACTTCATAAATATTTTCCTGCAGTTCTCACCCCATGAGTATCCACCAGTTATTAAACAACTCTGCAGCCTTTTGAGTGAAGAGACAGCAAAGAGAGCAGGGACCAGATAGATTTCTAAAGTGCATTTTATGGGGAGCAGAAAGGAAGGGGGGTGCATTTGTTTGACAACAGATGAACAGCAGGATGGAAGGCTTGGCCTTGGCCATAGGCTCAGATTCCCTCTCCCCATCCTAATGAATGCCCCTACAGCTGTTCACCCTGACAGCCCTCTCTGACACCTCCCTCCTTGGTGTGGAGTGAGACAGGACACACAGAGGGCTCAAAGAAGCACCACTTGGCTGGTTGGTGTCATCAACTGGTTCTGTACAAGCAAAGTGCTAGGCACTATTTGGGAAGCTTCTACTGTGTTGACAGATAGATAAATGGGTGGTGATATGTCTTGATGATCAGGTAATCCAGAGCTTCTCACACACTTCTTTCTCTCTCTCTCTTTCTTTTTCTCTAGTTCAGAAAAGCTGGAGAGCTTTGAAGTACCTGACAAGTATATTGAAGAGTGGGAAACACCAAATAGCCCAAACCAATTGTCCAGCCTTGCAGCAGTAAGACCATCCCTCTTCTGGGTTGCATTAGCACCATGAGGGGCCACAAAGAGGAGCTGGTAGCATTCCTGACTCCCTCCTTCTGGTATATGAGGAAGGTCTGCTGCTAAGTGCAATGCTGAGCCGGACTCTCAACCCATGGAAAACTGCAATGTTTGAATGATGCATGGAAAAAACCAAAGCCATCTGACTGCAGAGATCCTCCTAATTATTGCCCCCATCATACTGACAAGCACCCAGCTCTGACCTTCCCAGAGGGTGATGTGTGCTGTCCTGCTTTTCTTGTGCAAGCAGCCAGCAGCTCTGTGAGCTCTGCTCACTTCAAAGAGATCTTCTGCACCAGGAATGAGGACACAGCCATCCTGACAGGCATTGACCAAGGCATTGCCTGCACCTTTGGCCCTCCTGCCTGGGCCAGGCTCAGAGCAGGAGTGACATACTCACTACATAGTGAAAACTTCCGCACCACCACTCAAGCCAGGGCCTGGCAAGTGAAATCAAGACTCTGGGCTTGGTGAAGAAAAGGCTACAGATAAGAGGCCTGCTTGTGTCAGGAAGGCCATGAGAAAAAGGAACAGAGCCAATTAGACTCACCAGTCAATGGAGGAGAAGTAATGGGATTAAGCTACAGCAGGGAGAACTCGGGTTAGATGTAAGGGAGAAGGCTACTGAGAGGAGCAGACTGGGCCCTCGAATGAGCTGCCAGAGGAGCTGGCATCACCAACATGGAGACGGCAGAGAGCAGACACACGTCTCAGGAAGAGCAGGCACCTGACTGCTGCACAGCCCAGAGCTGTGGTGGGTGGTGTCCATGTGCCAGGAGATGGGACCACTCCACCACGGAGAGGCTGTGTGCCAGAAAGAACAGGGACAGGCCATCTCTGGGTATCTGTGCTCATAGCCTGAGCCATAGGAGAATTACAGCAGCTGCCCTTGGTCCAGGGCACTGTGTTCTCTCACCAACACTTAAGAGAAAACCCTCTTTGCTGGTAGTGTCCCATGCAAGGAGTAGTGTCCCATGCCAGGAGACAGGAGGGAGAGCCCAGCTTTCTGCTCTGAACTTTCCTGCCTGACTAGACATGCCGGGACGAGCCCTAGTTTCAGTTTCTCCTCTTCAGCTCCACCACTTCTCTGTCAAGCCACCAGGCAGCTCCTATCCCTGCTGCCCAGTCCTGCTCTCCTACCATGTCCAAGTGCACCATCTCCCTTTCCTGAGCCTGAGTCAAGTCTCCAGCCTTGAGAAAATGGAATGGGATGGACCAGGGGAGCAGTTCTACCAGGTGCACTTGGGTAGCACCAAGAATATGAGGGATGGGATCTCTGAGAAATCCTGGCATGCAGTGGGGAACACTGACTAGAGAGGTCCCACTCCTCAGGGTACTGTGGGTCTGGACCAGCCACAGACAGAAGCACTGGGACCTGGCTGCAGCTGACACCAGGTACATGGGGAAGGTGTTCAGCAACAGAAAGACTCTATGGATCCTGTGGGTCAGAACAGCAGCCGTGCCTCAAAGACCCACCTGGACAGACCACCTCCAGAATAATATTCCATATTATTCTGGCCCCCAAAATGGGGCCAGAGGAACAAGGCCAGGCATTCTCATGGAAAGCCCCAGAAAGAGCCAAGGACAGGTGCCTGAAGCTCTGCTGCAGGTGCTAAAAGCTGGGGTCATAGAGACCCTGCTAATCTGTTCCTGTTGTGAAGAATGTCTTTTCCCCGGGGAGATAAAAGGCCTGCCAAAACTGAGATAAATCCATCTGTCCAAGGCACCTTGGAGGCTGGAGATAGAAAGATGAGCCACTGCAGCCTAATTTAAGCAACAGTGCAGATTTCAAAGAGAACATGTCAGGAAGGACAAGCGGGGACCTCATTCCTCACTAATGACCCATTGCAGCTCCACTGCCTCAATTCCCTGGGACATACAAGCACACACCATTATCTCCCTGGAGTCAGGAGAACACTCCACACTGGCCTTGGCTTACATTAGGCCCTTGGAGAGAGGAGCACGAGTGCACAGCGAGCCAAATGTCATTACTAAGCAAGGAAATCCCAGGGCTGCTTTCGCCCAGTCTGAATCTATGCCAAAAATAATGAGAACAAAGTGCAGAGAGGGATGTGCCTACATCAGAGACCTTAATCTTCTCTGTCCTCCAAGGGACCCTCTTCTTTAAGCCAACATCTAGCTCTGGTAGTGAAAGTAAGGGCAGAACTAAGGGCTAAGACAGAATCATAAACATAGTGAGATTTTAAGAGACTTCCTGTTCAAACCACTGTTATTTGTAGTTTAGCACCCCAGATCCAGGAGGACAAGCTGACTTGAAGGGCAAGAGACGCTAACCAGGATATGCAGGGCATAAAGAGCAGAACAGACTGCTCTGGGGGAAATGAAAAGTGGAGCTCTACAATGCCCACAGGTACTGACCACTCCAGGCTTGCCAGCAGGAGATGACTTTCAAAATAGGACCAGTGTGGAACATGGGTGCATTGCAGCCTCCTCAAGACCTGGGAGGCAAAGCAGTACAGCAGCACGATCAGAGAGACAGACCCCTCATTAATAGCTGGCAGGAGGAAGATGGCTGGACTAAATACAGTGCCTCACTGTTCTGTGACAGATGGGGAGGCAGACACAGAGCACAATGCCCAGGTGCCACTGGACTTGCCCTTGTCACCCCAGATGTGCTGCTCTTAGCTTTTGTCAGCCACAGCTGATGAGGGAAGAAGGGTGAAGCTGAGGAATAGTGCTGGAGAAATCGCTGGCTGATTTGGCATGCACTCCCCAAAGAGCTGACTGAAAAGGAGACAGCTTTTCTGAGAACAAGGACGCAAGAGATCTGGGGATGTGTTGTTGGAGGAGGAAAAGCTGGGTGTGTGCATGCTGCAAACACTGTTGCAGCTTCAGTGACAGGAAGGTTCTTTGCCCAAGGTCACTGAGATCCTTTCCAGCAGGGTAGAAGGGGCAGCACAAAGCCAGAGCAACCTGCCCTGACAAGAGCAAGGCAGAAGAACCCAGTCGCTAATGAGCTAAACAGAAGAGACACCTCACTTCTGACAGCCTGACACCTCCCTGCAAAAACTGTTGTGCAAAATGTTTCGCTTCAATCAGGTTTTCCTCTAACATATCCCCAGCCTCTGTTCTGCAGAACATCCCTCTTGGCAGTGCCTCCTGCACCAATAGTGGGGTACCACAGAAACAGAATCCTTTTGATCCTCCTTTCCCCAGTCAAAGTTCCCAATGCTCCAGCATGCTTTTGCATTTGTCCCTGCTATCCCCAGAGCTCTCTGCCAAAATGAGGCTTCCAGGAGCCTGCAGCTCAGAGTCCACAGCCAGAGCCCAGCTGGATCTCATGCCAAATTCACTTGTGCAGGCTTGCACTAACCTGCTGCTCCATTATCAATAGGTGAACTGCAGCTGAACCTACCAGAGACTTCCTTGATGCTTGGCTGAACCAATTAAGACTCACTTCAAAGCCAGGAAGGGTCCCCAGCCACTTGATGTGCCACCTGATACCACAATGTCTGTTCCAGTGCCATCCTCTTCCCCAGCTCACCAGGGGCCTCCCCTTTTCTCTTTCCAGCTGAGCCCTCCTCCAGCAAACACATCAGTAGCGCTGCAGATCTCTGCTCCATCTCGATTTGCACATTCATCCCTTCCCTGGTGCTGCATGCCCAAACAGAAAACCCTTTACCAAGGGGATGCTGACTCACACCTGGCACACCGAAACTTCCTCAGGAGCTGAGCATGAGATCCTCTGGAGGCAATGCCATTCCCAGCAGTGAGAAAAAATAACAGTCGGAGCATGGTCTAAAAAAAAAGTGGACAGGGTGGGGAACAGGCAGGGGGAAGGGGAAGAGGCGGATTCGTGGCTTTCAGCCTTTGCTCTAACCTGCCATTGAGCTCCACGTGCCTGGGCACCCATGACCTTCTGTCACAGGCAGCGACACCCTGCTCCAGGGGCCTGCTCTCCTCCACCCTGTCAGGGCTCTCGCTCCAGTGTGGGAAGCAGGGTGGGCAGGAGTGCAGCAGGGTGCTTTTTGGTGGCTGCTGGTTCCTTGGAGCACGAGCCAGCCTGGAGCCAGGGCTGGGAGCCAAAGCCACCCCCTCCCTGCATCAGGCCTGTTGTTTTATTCCCCCCTTTGGGTCTTGATACCATGAATTATGGTTTTGCTGTTGGTTTGGTTGGGTTTTTTTTTTTTTGCATGTGGTGATCGGTCGAGAGTTCTGTGCCATGTCAGGGGGAGCATCAGCATCCACCCCTCGGGGAGGTCAGAGCCACAGCGGGGGAAGGTTTTGCTGGCTGCCGGAGCAGGATGCCATGTCCACTCCATCCTGATGTCCTCCTGGGCTATCCCCCTCGTGCTCCTCTCCCCAAATCCTGCGCCGGCTTGGGCCGGGCAATGGACAATGAGATCTCACCACCGTCTGCTTTCACAGTGAGGTCTCCACGCAGGACCCATTGCGATGGAGGTGACGGTGGTCATGGTTCAGGCAGCCTTCGTTGCGGTGTACAATGAGGACAGGGAAGTAGAGGGCATCCTGATAAGGAGGGGGGTCTTCCTCCTCCACAGTCACCTGGCTGGAGAGGCGTGTCTGCTCGGTGGGGCAGCTCTGCTCGTTGAGGCTGCCACTCCGGCTCTGCCAGAGGCAGCTGCGGCGCGAGCCGTACAGGCGGCCCAGGGAGAAGCGGCTGCTGCTGAAGGGAATCCTGGGGCTGCCGTTGCAGATGCTCAAAGCGCTGCGGGAGAAGATGGAGGAGCTGCTTATAGTCCTGTGGCAGCGCTCGCAGTTCTGCCGGTAGCCCCCGTAGCGGCAGGCAGAGTAGCTGGTGCAGCCAGAGAGCCCCACCAAGTCCATCAGCACCGCTTCCGAGTAGCTGGGCACCAGCTGCTGGTTGGAGCGTATGTGCCACTCCAGCTCCGTGCTGTCCACCGTGTTGACACGGGGCATCCTCCGGCAGAAGGAGCGCTCCTCAGCCGGCGTCACCGCCACGTAATCGAACCCAAAGAGTTTTTCCACGTGGTAATGGACGTAGGAGGTGCGGTACTCATTTAGCACCCGCAGGGGCCAGGACAGGGTCAGCAGAGCTGCCACCCAGAAGACATAGTGAGATACGTACCAAGGCAGGTTGTCTGGGTCGGAAAAGGCCACCATGTATTCCTTGAAGTCCACATTTTTGAGGTGCATCCCCTCCCTGGCCTCCATGTAATCGTCTAGGCCCTCGTTCTCCGTGAAGAAGCGGGCCCGCTGGGTCAGATAGGAGTTCTCGGACTCCACGTTGGCAAAGCTGAAACACTTGGTGAAGCGGAGCCGCGTGGCTGGGTAGCTCTCCAGGTCGATGAGGTCCTTGGAGATGTCCTTGACCCCGCAGTTGGAGTAATCAAACTCGGCCTCTGCCACGTGGGTGTTGACCCGCTCGTGGTACACCTGGGTGGTGGTGTAGGCATCCCCGTTGCGGTAGCGGGTGACCTGCCGGGTCCTGCGCACGTAGTGGTAGCTGATGGCCTTCCACCAGATGCAGGGGGTCGCCTGCTGCATGCGCTGCACGCGCTCGTGCACGCTCTCCACGTCCACCTTGTACTGCAGCTCGTTGCGCGTGTAGCAGTGCCAGCACTCCACCAGGTACACCACGTAGAGCATCACCAGGAAAGCCAAGGGGATGTAGACGTAGCCGTTGGAGCAGGGGCTGTCATGGTACATCATGGACTTGCCCTTGTAAGCGCTGTCGAAGGTCAGCCGGGTCACCTTGGTGACGTGGCACCAGGTCATGGCTCCCATGCAGCCATACATGAGGAGGGACAGCAGCAGGCATTTCCAGTGGGACTCTCGGCACAGGGACTTGCTGAGAGACTGCTTCACTGGCCGCTGCTGCTCCGGGGCACCGGGGAGAAGAGAGAGAAAACAAGAGAGGAGTCAGTAGGCTGCAGGGGAAGGGGAGCAGGGTGCTGTGGGGGCACCTATAGCTCTGTGAACACAGACCAAACAGCAGATGCCATGGGGCTCCTGGCCTCAGCGGGCAGGGCAGAGGCTGGGATCTCTCACAGGATGACAGCCATGCAGTGCAGGCAACTATCACCTCCATTTCTGGTGCTCTGCCCCTCCCTGGGAGACAGACAGAGCCCAGTTGGACATGGGGGAGAGAGGCAAAGGATAACTCTGTCAGCCACACCCTGAGCATCTCCCTTCTCCAACAGGGAGTAAACTCTACCCATTGCCACTTCCCAGGGAGAGCTGTTGGAGCACCAGATAAGAGTCTGGGCGATCTCCTCCACATTCCTCAGCTCTTGCACCCACCCCACCAGCACAGGCAGCTCTAACTGATGTCACCCCACCTGAGCCCCTCACCACAGCTCATCCCACTGCACACGAGTCTCTTCCCCGCTTCCCAGTAATGACCAAGGGCAACATTCCAATTCCTCCACCAGGGCGGCACAAGCTGCCTGGTGTGCCTGTCAGATGGAGAAACAGCCCTTCTGCAGCTGGGAAGGTCTGTGCTTGCTAATGACAATTCCCACTACAACACTTGGCAGCCTAAGGAGCTCTGAAGTGCTTCTCAAGTGCTTTATAAACCATACCAATGAGAAAGTACTTTTCCACTATTGAAATGGAGCCACCTCTGGTAGGAGAGAAAGCAAATATGGAGTAACATCCTAAAAAGTGTTCAGGCTGGAAGGAAGGAGCATCCTACCAATCTGCAGCAACAAGGAGGGCAAGAGGCCACTCACAGCTGCTGGCAAATGTGCCTGCGTGCACTGGGATTCAGATGTGACAGTCCACACTTCTGAAAAAATTGCTCTTAGGTCTTTCATGGTGAGGAAAAGGCGGAACTTCAGCAACACGACTTTTTAAAGGGATTGCACTGGTGCCTTTACCACAGCACAGTGCAGGGCTTCACACAAACCCATGAAAAAACTTGGTTAAGGAAACCTCGGTCACTCTGCAACACTCTAAGTCTCAAATATTGATCCATTGTCTGTGAGATCTGATATCATCCTACCCAAAGAAAGAACAGACAAAGTAACTATTTGCTTTCTTATACAGAAGATTTCATCCAGCGATCTCCAAAGGTGCAACCTGAGAGAGGGGGTCAAGACCCCCAGCCTTGTGCAGATGCCACCAAATTCACTCAGAGGCTCCAAGCTTTGCTCCCCCTCTGCCCCCGCAGGCAGCAGCAGCTCCTGAGCCCACCTCTGCCATGGCAGGGGCCAACACCAGCTGTAATGACCCAGCACTGCAGTCCAAGCCTGGCTCCATTATTCTCCACTCCTGAGCACGCTGGGCTGGAGAGGTCTCTCATCCAGGAATCCCAAACAACTGAAAGGGCTCACACTGCTAGGAAGCAGGAGGGGCACTTTCACTCTGGTATGAAAATAAAAATTAAAGCAAGAACCAGAAATCACAAGGGCACTGACAGGTCTAGGGGTAGACCTGGGCCTCTTCTTTCATTAAAGAAATGCATCTTGCCCTTCTGAAGAGCCCCTCATTCCTGGCTTGGTGCTCTAGAGTCCCACAGGCCAGTATTTCCTCCCCACCCTTGTCAAAGCCTGCCAGTGGGACTTCTGTCACTGCACTCATGGATCCAGCCCAAATCCACAGCAGAGGTTTCCCTCCTGGAGGCACAGAGCTCCCCTGCCTGCCCACCCCAGCAGCCAGCCCATGATGAGCAGAGCAGGTGGCACATCCAGAGACACCACTGCTGGCACAGGGAATGGCAGCACATCCCACTGGCACTCCCAGCATCAGTAATGCTGAGCTGCTCTCTTTGAAGCCACTAGCTGAGAGCAGGAACCTGGGGACAGACAGACAGACAGACAGACAGAGCCCAGGGCTGGCAGGTGGGTGGTACTGGCCTGCAGGCAGCTCAGAGAGGTGCAGGGTGGCACTGCTGGCATGGACGCACATGCAGCCCAGTCTTCTGACCACTGCAGCAGCCTCACAGTCATGGGGCAAGGAGGCAACCCCAGGTAAGAGAAAAGGGAGTGAGGAGAAGAAAGGGGGCCTTTCAGGAGGCAGAGCCACCTGAGCTGTGCTCTCCCTCCTGAGGTCAAGGCTGCAGTTACCAGAGCCTGCTCAGACCCCTGTCTTTGCTTGGTTGCAGCACAGCTCTCCCATGCTGGAATACTGTGCCACTGCCCAGGCAGCTAAAGGCTTCCTCTCTCACTGCTGCCTCCTGCGTTGCAGGCTTTCTCTGGCAGCGGCAGCCCTGCTCTGCCTATGAGGATCTAAAGGAGCAGCTGAGCCAAAGGAGGAGCGTGGGGAGGGTCTGAACAGGGCCCTTGGGTGGTACATGCCAAGCCTGGGGTGTCTGTGGGGCGTGAATGCTGAGAAACAGCACCTTGTTTAGGAGGCAGACATGCAAACAGCACAAGGAATAAAGCAAAGCACCCAGCTCATTCATTTGTCAGCTGGGGAAGGGGCACCAGAATGACAGGTCTTTGGACACGTCTGTCTCAGAAGAGCAAATTCCACCTCACAGCCAGTCCCCAGCCCCTGGCACTCTGCACTGCCCGTGTCACAGGAGAAGGGAGCCGCTGGCTGCCACCCTGCAGAGATGTAGGCAAGCCCCACTGCGGTTACCCACCCAGGGCAGGGAGCACGATGCAGCCCAGGCTTGGTTCCAGGAACTGTGTTAGCAGGGCTCTGGTCCATGCATTAGTCTCCTCCTAGGACTACGCAGTACTCAGATACTGCAGCGCTTTTACGGGGTCACACTAACCCCTGCTGTAAACCGTTTACAACCCAGCCTTGTCCCAGGCTTTTGGGGCTAAACACACACACCTCAGCTGCTCTGGTGGGGGCTCCGAAAGCTGAGCAAGTGCAGGGACGGGATACAGCCACAGCAGAGACAGAGGAGGAGCCAGATGCAGAGTCTAATCCCAGTAGGAACTGCAGCATCCCTGCTCCTCTCCCAGGCTGCAAAGGGCTCACAGGAGCAAACAATCAGCTCCAGAGATTCCTCCGCAGAAGCAGCTGAATAAGATTGTCTCCTTGAGCTCTTAACCAGCCTTGGATAAGTCCAGCATAGCAAGCAAGCAGATGAAAATGCTGGGGAAAGAGAAATCTGTCTCAGAACAGTGTCACTAGGAGGAGAGCAGGCACTGATATAAATGCCATCGTCATCTGCCCGCTGCAGTCTGATGGAATGAGGCAAAAGACTTGCCCTACTTCACTGCAAACAGGGTTTCCCTCCATCACCAGGAGCCTCCCTCACTGATCAGGCTCCAGCACTGGAGAGTGGTGAGCAAATCTGCTATTGCAGGTGCACTGGAACATCCCTGCAGTGCTAGGGGGCCAGGCTGGCCATAGCTTAGCTGAGCCTGTTGTGGGATCCCAACCAGCTCCCTTCCCTGTGCTTCAGTTCACCTCAGGGAATGCATGGGGCAAACCTCAGCAGGCACTAACTGAGACACAGCTCAGGAAAGGCAAGGGGGGGCTGCTGCTTGGGCCTCCCCTCCCTCCTGCCTGGCACTGCCTCTGACACTGCCCTGAAGGGGACAGAGATGGAGGCCCACACCTGCAGCTGCTGCTCGGGATGGGTGGGGAGGGATGGAGGGGATGGGGGGGATGGAGGGGATGACTCACAATCAGCCATGAAGCAAAAGGGGACACCCACAATGCACAGGGCAGAGGCAGTAGAAGAGGGGACCCCCAACACTGCTTGCGCTAAACTCCTTTGAGGTCTGGGGGATTCTCTTTTACAAAAAACAGCCTCAAGGGACAAACCTGCCCAGCACCTCAGTGGCAAAGCACATGGGTCAAAATCCCTTAATCACCCCTGCAACCTTAACCCTCCAACTTTGAATACTAAAACCCATCAAGTTCTTCAAGCTACTCCCAGTAACAGCCTGGCTCTGGCCCCATCCACTGTCCCCTTTTTTAACAAGCATTTCCATGTCATTACCTCCCATGCCTCTCACCTGCCCCTCCCTGCAGAAATCTCTGTGAAATCTCCAATTCACCTCCAGAATGCTAAACCTTCATATTTCGAGACAGCCTGGGTTTCAGAGGGTTAGGAGTCCTAGAGACAGCCCTCTAGAGGGCTGAAAAAACAACCCAAAAAAGGCCCAGAGCAGCAGCCTGAAGGCCCAGGTAGTTCCCGAGTGCCAGGTGGTGGCAGCAGCCTGCAGGGGACTCCAGAGGGACTCCTGAGCATCAGTTTCCATGGCTCTTCCTCAGGATTCACTTACATCATACAAGAAATGAATAAGCCCTGATTCCTTTGACCTCAAATCCCCAGAAAAAGGGGGGTAGGGAGGATCCAGTCATTTCTAGGAATTACCACTGTCTTTGAAGGCTCTGGACAAACATTGGCAACTCCTGGCCAGGATGGTCCCAGCAAATACCCACATCACGCACCCCATGCCTACAGGTCCTGTCTACAAGCAAGAGGTGGCTCAGTCCCAGGCTGGCAGGGTTGCCAACTGCAGAGGACAGAGGAAGGCTGAGCATCGACAAGCCAGGGAATCCTGCCAGCAGTCAGCTCCTGCAGCGGTACCAAGGTCTCCATTTCACACAGCAGCTTGGAGGAGGACTGCTTCCTTCCATCAGATCCCCCCTGAGCAGCAGGACAAGGACAGGTTTTTCCTGGTTCCCAGCTGAAGAGCTTGTCCCTTGGCGTCTCCTACCCTCCAAGTATGCACTGAGGAGTGAAATTCAGTTCACCACCACTGAGTGTGGGTGTAGGCATGTGATGCCAAGATGGAACAAGGGCTCAGTCAGCTCTGGTTAGCAGCTCTTGCTACTTGCCTTGCTGGGACAAGATGAGAAACACCCGAAGCCCTGCCTGGCTCCCAGACACAGCAACCTGAGATATCAAGATGAGAAACCTTCAAACAGGACAGGGCAAGTTTCCCATATTCCAGACATCTCC